TGTGTTTAGGGTCTCGTTCCAGCCCTTGACCAGCTGTTCCCCAACTGTGAGAAGCGCCATTGTGCAAGACACCTGTGGAAGAATTTTAAGGGGGCTTGTGGAGGCTCCAAAATACTCAAGGACTTGTTTTGGACAACTGTTAGAGCAACTACAGTGCCTGAGTTTCGAAATGTGATGCAATCATTGGCTGAGTATAGCGAACCCGCCTATGATTGGCTGGTCGAAAAGTCCTTCCTCCATTGGACCAGATCACATTATCAGACTTACACCAATTCATGGATACACACCAGCAATATTGTTGAGAGTTGGAATAATACGATACTATAAGAGAGAGATTTGGGTCCAATCAGCATGTGGGAGGGGATCCGGAGGAATCTGATGGTTTTATACGCCCGACGATAGGAGGATGTGGAGAAGTGGGCTGGTCCTTTTTGTCCAAATATTGAGACAAAGCTGCAAATGTTGACTGGAGAAGCTGTGAAGTGGGTTGCTGTGTCTAATGGGAGACGATAGTTTGAAGTAAGGTGGCACGACAAACAGGTTGTTGTGAGTTTGAAAGATCAGACTTGCACTTGTAGAAAATGGGACTTAACTGGTATTCCTTGCCAACATGCTATTCAAGCCATTCATACGAAAAACCTGCAAGTGCAAGACTATGTTGCTCGTTGCTACACCAAGGAGACTGTTGCAGCGATTTATAGCTACTCCATTTCGCCTACTGCTAGTAGGGACTACTGGCCAGTTTCCGAGTTGGGAGATGTTGGTGTTCCTCCTCCTCAAGAATCGAAAAAGAGAGGGAGGCCAAAGAAACAAAGAAGAAAGGGGCTCGAGGAGGCTGAAACAGCCAAGAAGAAACAAAAGAAGGATGGAAGGGACAAAGCAAAACCTGAAAGAAAGCAGTACAAGTGTGCGGAATGTGGACTACTAGGGCACAACAAAACCTTTCACGATGAAGCAAGAAAAATTAACGTACAAGAGAAGAAGAAAGAGAAGGAAGAAGCAAAGAGGAGGTAACAACTTGAACGAGCCGAGAGAAACAAAGTTGCAGCATTACAGAAGCTACAACAAAGAGCTACAAAAGCTGCTGCTTCTTCATCGAGTAGTCAGGCCCATGTAGTGCAACTCATGACAGATGTATGATTTCAGTCTAGTGGATGTTCCTTTTATCTTAGTCCATTCCATCCAACATACTAATGACATCTTAATTTGCAGGGAAGTACACGGAGGCCAAACTGTGTGGTTCCAAGTCAAGCAAGTCAAGCCTCCTAACTATCACAGATTGCAAGCCAGGTGACACAAGCAGAGCAGTTGTGAAGACTAAATTTATCTACAGTAGGGTTAGGTTAGGGCATGGTGAATGGCTCTTTTGAACATTGCAGTCTTGCTATTTTGCCAATTTAGAACTTGACTTGTCGTTTAGCTATTGTAGTGATTGTTAGGTCATGCATGGTACATGGCTCTTTTGGACAATGAAGCCTTTAAGGCTCTATTTATAACTGACTATCGTATGTAACCAATTCTCCAAGTTGTGAAAAATACAGAACACTTCTAGTGACCATATGTGGTCCTAAGTTGACTTTCCTAGTGACCAAATGTGACCCTACACCTGTTTTCCAGTGACCAAATGTGACCCTGTATTGTATTTCGAGGGACCAAATATGGCCCTGATTGGTTTTTCGAGTGACAACATGTACCCCTGAAATGTTTTCGAGTGACCAAATGTGACCAATAATTGCTTTCCGAGTGACGAAACATGCATCTACATTGCAATTTCAGGCACCAAACGTAAAATGTCATTTTTTTTAGGGTTACACAGTCTACAATACAGAGAACCTTCGAGTACAGCTGGTAAGATTAAGCAAAGAGCTGCTTACTTTCCAATCCAAACGCAAAAGAATACAAGAGCAAACAAAAAGAAGATGGACAATGTTTTGCCATTAGATTTGGCCCCTTTCCCATTTTGCCTATTCTCTTGCTCCCGGATCCGACGATGGAAGTTCAGCACCAGAAATTTCATATGCTCGTCAAGTGCTGGGTCATGCCATCTGAAGTAATTACATGCCCCATTTGTCACAAAAAAGAAAGAAGGGTGAAGGAAGAGGACAATCCAATGCTGAAACTACAGATGAATTGAAGGTGAGGGAAACTTACCCCGTACTTGCTGCACCCGAAGAACCTCCTACCTGGATTGCCATCAGTCCAGCTGGTCTTCAAAACTGCTGGATCTCCACAAAAGCAGAAGTGTCCCGCCATTAGTAGAGAATGGATGATTGGGCACAGCGGAATGAGAAGGAAACGAAGGGATTTGAGGCGTGAATGAAAGATTGAAAGACTTCTTGTAGACGGATAACCATATAAAGAAGATAGAGGGTCTGGTTAAGTGGGTTAGGGTTTATTTCTGGGTCGGGTTGGGTTAATGGATTGGGTTAGGTTTAATACGTGGCGGGTTTAGTGAAGTGGCGGGTCGGGTTTGACCATTTCCGGCCCAAAACGACGCTGACTAGGCGCTAACGTTAGCCACGTCAGCACATAACAGACTCTTTTAACGGAGTTGGACGGCAGCTAACGACGAGTGACTAAATGTGTCCAGTTTTAGTAATTGTAGTGACCAAATTTGATATTAACTTTTTATAGTGACTAAACATGTCCCGATTTTGTAATCTCAGTGACCAAATGTGTCTTTAATCCCCAAAAAAATAACCCAATTTCAATATGCGGATGGAATTTTGTGAATAGACTCACCCGAGTACCAGAGTCCAGCAATGCAAAACTCCAACTAATTTTTTTACATTTTTTTATCTGATAAATCCCAAAAACAAGTTCCAACCAGCGAATAGAACTCACCAACGGGCAGGGGAGAAAAAATTTCACTAATTTGAGGAGAGTACATGTTACAAACCAAATTCCGCAACAGACTAAACAAACTAACATGGCCGACCTAACAACAGATTAGGGTGATGAAGAGTATTTATATAACTCTTCTCCTAATCCCAAACAGAAAACCAAATACATTTTCCCAACATACAAGGAAAATGCCTAAACAAAACCCAAATCCAAAGATAATAGGCCCAAAATAAAAAAAAAACTCAAATTAAATTCAAGTCATATTCTAACAAACTTTTTCCACATCGATAGTTTTTTTTGTCTCTCAATGCAGTGCATATTAGCTTTCCATCTTTATGGCCTATAGTGATTTTGTGAAAGCAGAAAATCACGATGACTTATAAAGTTTGGTGTACAAATTTGACGACCGATAGGATAGGGGATACCGTCAATCAAGGTTGTCAAACCGGTTTATGCCGGTGTGCCGGTTTTGTAAGTGGAATGGTCTGACCGTGGTACAACCAGTATTCATGCCGGTTGTGCCGGTTTTAATAAAATACATGAGAAAAATGGAAATCCTCAATTCCAAATAAATTAGTCATAAAAAAGAAATTAGAAGAATTATTTCACACAAAATAATTTATAGCTAAGAATTGGTAACTAATACTAAACAATTAGATGCTTAAAAATAAAATTTTATTAAATAAATTTTATTAATGTTTATAATGATTTGTGTAAAATTTATTATTAGATATATAACATATAAGGTTAATATAGACAACAAAATTGCTTGTAGCTTACTGGTGTATAAGTTAAACTAAAATGAACAAGAGATCCTTGGTTCAAATCCTATGAAAGATGTTTATTTTTGGATATAATATGGGTAACATTAAATTCCGGTTTCTGGTCTAACCGGCCGGAATTTCTGGATTTGACCGGATCTGACCGGCGTTGACCGAATTTGACCACAGTTAAATATCGACCCCTTTCCAGCCGGTTTGCTAACCGGTACCGGTTGAACCCGGTTGAACCGGCCGGCATGAAACCGGTTTGACAACCATGCCGTCAATCGATATAGTTGTTTCTACAGTAGTCTATGTCTAGGTTGTATTTTGTAAGGTCTTAAACAATGTCTCTACTTTAGATTTACAGCTAGGGTTTCGAGTTTTACAAGTGGGGTTTAAGTGCCCCTAATATGGTTTTTACTATTAAAATCGCATGAAGTAGTAAAAAATCAACAATTTAAGACTGTGGAAATGCAGGAATAAAATGTGTTGTCTAGGATAGCTTCACTAGTCAACTTCGGTTATAACTGATAATATATCTAGTTAAAAAACCACCTAATATATCTGAGGAATTTTAGAATGCTATATAGCATTGGTGCTATAGGTTTTTGCCTTTATGGTACAACTTGAAATTGTACCTTTAACGTTATGGTATAACTTCATATTGTATCTATACTTTTTGTACAAATTCTTTTATGATACAACTTGAACTTGTACATTTATGTGATGGTACAATACAACTTCAAACTGTAAAGTTGTATTATAACATAATAATACAAATTCCTTTATGGTACAACCTCAACTTATACATTTAACATTATGGTACAACTTTAAGTTGTACATTAAAGCACCAATACTTTATATCATAATATAAGTGCTCAATATATCTAGTCAGCTAGGGTTTAAGTGCCCCTAATATGCTTTACTATTGTCGCGATGTCTTGTTTGCAATAGGAGTAATTAAATTGAGGTATGTCTCGTTTACAATAGGAGTAATTAAATTGACTTGTGCGCAATGTCTCATCGGCCTCAAGAAAGCTATTAACTATTAAGTATGAATATCACAAGTAAGATATACTCGGTAAACCAACTCGAGTAGTCTCTTGTCTTGGTGATCTAGTGGTTTCTCTCGACCTTAGCTATATATATGGGTGGTCTTGAAGTTGATTTTGCAAGTCGCAAAGTGAGGTTATTATGATTTATGAGATAATAAACAATCCTATCTTCTCTACCTCCTCGTGATGGAGAACAAACATATAAATTCTTTTAGTTATTTCCTCAAACAAGTACTTATATATATATATAGTCATACAAAAAAATTAGCTGATATTTTTTCTCATAATATATATGGTACTATAATCAGAAGTACATGTATTGGGTCTCCACACTTCTGTGTAAAAATTAAATTGATTATAATTAGCCACAAAAAAAAAAAAAAAAAAAGTATGCAACAGCTGCCCACAAATAATCGATCAACTGTTCATAGAAGAGTAGAGAGCTTCTGGTTCAGCCCAACGTCGACTCCATTGTAAGCAATCGGTGCGTACATCCATAGGTCATCAGAGCTCAGTAGCTGCAATTCAAATTAAATAAAAATATATATTAGAGATGTGTCATCATCCAGCTAATAATCAGTCATTAATATAATCATCTCTAATAAAAAAAAGTAGTGTTAATTAATCACCTTGATCTGGAGCTGCAAGTACTTGACATAATGAACCGCCTCTTCCAGCATTGTGCTGATGTCAACTTTGGTCCCGTTGGGCACCAAAGTCTGCAGCATCCTCAGCCTCTCGTTGATCCTCTCTCTCCTCTTCTGCAAAAATTAAACAACATAATTAATCATTAGCTTAAATATCCCATCACCATACACTAGTAATTAATCACCCTCCTTGAATCCAGATTCAAACTAAATATATAGTAACCAAATCGATCACTTACTCTAGCGTAGAGGCTCTGAGGGTCGGTGGCTGATCCACGGCTGGCTTTCGATGATGTCTTTTTAGCAAAGATTTTGGAGGAGTCTCCATTGTTGTTCGAGCATTCCATCTCCTCCTCGGAGTTACAACTGCTCGAGCTCTGCCCACCGCGTCCAGAGTTATTATAGGCCACATTGTTGTTGTTGTTGTTGTTGTTGTTGTTCATCATGTTGCTCACCATTTCCTCGTCGCGATTAGGGCTAACACTGCACGACGAGGACTTTTGGCACTTCCTCTTGCTTTGGGGGATTTCGGATAATTCGAGGTTATCGAGTTTCCTTTTGAGCTGCCATCCCATGGAAGAGACGCCGTTGCTGATGGACATAGGGATGTTGCTGTAATTGGCTGATTCCTCATGAACATTGAGAAAATGAGCAGCAGGATCGAATAATGGGCTGTTGTTGCCGCTACAGTCAGTGCTGCTGTTGGTTGTAGTTGTGGTGGTGCTGTTATAGTTCATCATCTCCATCGGGGCAAACGAGCAGAGAAGACTCTGGTGAGTAATCACCTCGTCCCCCATGGCTGCCATCATCATGTTGTCCTGATGATAACTACTCACAAGCTCTTGAGAGTTGAAGCCATGGTGGTCAGCCTCCATTAAGAAGTATGAACTAAGGTTGAATTCTGCATCAGGGAATGCTGCCAAGAACTCCATTTTATCTTCTTCTCTTTTTTTTTTTATGTGTATTTGGAGTGAAACAGGAAGAGAGGAGCTGAAAATGGAAGCTTGATTTTGTGGGTTCTGGATTATTGATGAGTGTTTTGTTTGTGTTTTGGAGCTATGAGACAAGGGATGGGTTTAGGTTATATATATACAAGGGAATGTTGCTGGTGGAAAAGGGGAGGGTGTGAGATGTGAGGAATTTGACTTCTGACTTGTATGAGATGTGGGGGAATTTGTTTTATATTTTATTGTTGTGTTTTTTTTTTATATAAAAATATTCACAATCATTCTGTAGGGTAGGTCCCAATTCTCTGTAACTGAACTCCAGGAGTCCACCCAAGGACAACTAAGATGGAAGGACCCCAACTTCATGGAATTCTATATCATGGATTATTTCCTAACTAATCTTAATTAGTGGAAGGTAATTTAGCAAAGCAAAAATAGGATATGGGGACTAAGAGCCATTTGCTTCATGGATTTGGAAAATGAAGGTTTTGGTAAAATTTGAGTTTTGTAAAACCATGGTTGTATGAAGGTTTTGGGTTCATTATGAACTTGTAAAATACCATTGTTTGTTTCATTGATTTCATGATAGATTTGGTTAATTAGATTTGTGTGCAATAAATGAAAATGACCTAAATTATTCTCATTGGTATGAGATGAGAAAGATAAAAGGAGGGGTAGTTTGGTCATAAATGATGGACTTCAAAGTCCATGATCAAGTGATCACCATCACCTTAAGAGGTGGAATTTTCAAGTCCGTGGGACCCATGGATTTGGACCCTTTAAAGTCCATGGGGCCCTCGGATTTGTTGCCATCAAATACATGAAGCAAACAATAGACCAATGCAGTTAAAAGCGAGTTTCTACGTAGAAACGTTTTAGTGATCTGAAAGCGTAAAATCGTAAGTTTTTAAGTTTTAAAACGGAGTTTTTAACTACATAAGTTATAAAAACTAAGATTACTAAGATTTTGTGTAGAAACGTTTGAGTGACCTAGAAACGTAAAATCGTAAGTTCTTAAGTTTTAAAACGCAATTTTGACTACATTGCAATAGACTTTGGACAAAGTCCATGATAGATCCAAATCCATCAAGCAAACGACCCCTCAATACAATTCATTATGGATTTGTCCCGAAGTCATATGTTTTTGGTGGAATAAAATTCATGGGGTCCAAGACTTTAAGGGTTCAATTTCGTGAATCCCAAGGGCTTGCAAATCTCATGATTAAAGGTAAAATTTGTGTGAAGGCTAAAATCTTTCATGCCAACAAATCTAATGAAGTAAAATTCATAAACAAAAAATCCAATAAGCAAACAATGGACGCTTTCAAATCCATAATATATATGACTTATAGTTATAACTTATATATCAACTCACTCTAGGCTCCTCTTAGAGACACCAAGATTATGATTTCTTGTTCTGGCGAAAAATAATAATGACGAAAAATCCATCATAAAGCTAGGATTTCTAAAATTCCAAATTTTACAAAAACCTTATTCTTCAAATTCATGAAGCAAATGATACCCCAAGTATTGTATACTAATACTTATAACAGGGTACTTAATAATTAGGTAGAGAGAACCAAAGGGTTATCACAATAGACTACAGTACTGCTGTACTAATGATCTCCACAATTAATTATCTTGTTATAAGTACCACCTGATCATGACTTATGACATTATGGAGAGAGAGAAGAAAGAGAGAGAGAGACTCTCTAAGGACCTAATTATTGGGAGGTGGTCATCTTCTACTTGGGTTAAGTAGTGTATTCCCTCCTGTACTAATTATTCAATAGAACCAACGTTTACTTCCCAGTTAGGCAAATCACAATCACTAATTATGGAGAGATGGAGATAGCTAGCTACCATGTGGAGGCTTAACACTACTGCTTGAATCATCCACTGATCCTCATCTTTGTTGTCATGTTTCCAACATTCAAGAGCCAGATGTCAGATTTTCTCTTATATGCGAGGGGCGAATTGTTAGACAACCGCAATAATAATATTGAAAGAATAAATCGAAAAAAGACATAGGATTTACCTAGTTTGGCCTTTTCAGACAAACTTTTATCTCATTGTAATTATCGACAGAACTTTAATTTTCTCAACTATAAAGCCCTACTAAGAGAGGATGTATACTTGTGAACCTATCTAGAGTTCTAACCACCAAATTATGTCTAATATTCCATCCAATCCATGAGACACAAAAAAAAAAAAAAAAATTTCCATCCATCCAATGCATATGATATGTGGATATTAACAAATCAAATCAACCCCATGTTTACCTAATTCAACAATAATTTGGTCGATGATGAATTTAAACCTATAATTCTTCTTATGAGTTCTAACCTTCTAGATGATCCATCTAACACGATAACCATTTTTTGGCCGAATCGCAAACTGTCCAAACAAGCAATTGGAAGGACATGCCATACATAAATATGCCTCCTCTAACAACTCAAATGCCAACCATTGGAAAGTACAATATTAAGCCCTACTTAAGTTTGGTAATTAAGGTAGAGCATGCGCTTATTTGAAGATGCCAGAACGTGGGAAGGGTCTCTCTTGAGTCTTGATAGTTTATGATTGAGTAGTACTTAATAAACAAATACAATCATTCTCAATAAAACCAAATTATTGATTAAAGAAACCAAAGGGTTCATTCTATTCTATTCTATTATTCTCTGTGTTTGGAGGGGAGGAAATTTTCAATAAACAAAAACGCGGCTACCCATCGTGGCAGTGAGTCTGCAGGCTTTTGATTATAAATTTTTTAAAATAAGTCAAGAAAGAACAGAGATAGGGAAAAAACGTCCGACAGGTTAACCGTTGAACTCGCTCCTTGTCGCCCTTCATTGCGGCTCAAACCTAACCACTGCTCCTCCCCCTCTCCTGAATTAAACCCTAGTTCCAAGGAAGAACTCGTTTTGGGATGTATTCAGTGGATCCAGCCAGCTAGCTTCTCTCATTTACTCGCAAATATTAAATTACAAAGGAAGAGGTAGGCTCTTATTAAATTTTTATTTTTATTTTTGTGCAAAGAGCCTCCTAATTTGTACAGTGATTCTCACCGCTGGCTGGTTGTGTATCAAATATGAATACATTAAGGTGGGTTGGAAGTTGGAAAATCCTGAATGCATTTGGACATTAGATGTGCACCTGTTCCCGTGGTTGCATATTATTTGGCCTTTTATTTCAACCCATTACTCAAAGGCCTAATTACTAGCTAAGTCTCCATGTATGTTAGGAAGACACTATGTTGCAACATGTTGATCAGGTAGTCTTCAAACTTTTTCGAGATACAAATTAAACTTGAGTTATTGGGAGAAGGTTATTATGGATCTTATACCACACTCTTAAACGCCCCCTCAAACGAAACCCAACACACGGGTTTGAAGTTTGCACATGCCCAACATACCTTGTGCTTTAATCAACTGTTAATATTATGGTTCGTGGAGATTCGAACACACGACCAGTTGGTCAAACCATCTCTCAATATAGTCAAAAGCGCGTTTCTACGTAAAAGCGTTTTGGTGATCTAGAAGCGTAAAACCGTAAGCTTTTAAGCTTTAAAGCGCGTTTTTAACCAAAATAGTTATAAAAGCGTAGATTTAGCGTAGACTCAATTTAGTGACCTAGAAACGTAAAAGCGTAATTTTTAGAACTTTAAAGCGCGATTTTGACTACATTGCCAGCTCATATACCATATCATAATTAACTAAGTTGTTCCCAATAACTCGAGTTATTGGGAGAAGGTTATTATCGATCTTATACGATACTGTTACATTAAACATAAAGTTCAGCTTGTACTGTAAAAGAATTTGTACAATCATTATAGTACAAGTTCAGTTTGAACCATAAAATAAAGATCCAAATTCAGTTTATACCTTAAAAGCACTTTTACAAAAGGTATAGGTACGCACTGAATTTGTAATATAGCGTTAATGGTACAAATTCAGTTGTGACATAAATATTTTTTTTTTATAAACCAAACACCGATACTATAAAGCATTGTAATTCCTTGTTGTTTAGCTCATTGATAGTACAATATGAATTTGTATGATAACGTTAAAAATATAAATTAAAAAGAGATTTTTTTACCAAAGCAACTGTACTACCAAACATTGTAAATTCCTCCCCAAATAAATCATTGATGGTTTGGGTATCTTCTTATTTTAACCCTAATACTTTAGATTAAAATTAGGTGCCATATAACCGTAATCCCCAAGGGCCAAGAGGACATATTATTTTTCCGTCGTACAATCATCTCTATCTTCCCAACATGTACAGCACAGCAAATCCCACAAGCAGAGTATCAAAATCTCTACAGAATAACCCTAATCAAACCTAATACAGAATTTTATTTCCCCCATTCCCCCACTGTATAATTTAAGTAATCTAGTCGATCTACAGATTGCCTGAACGAAGCCCCAAACCCCATAAGATTAAGTGGTACCTTTTAACCATAGATTCCGGCGCCCTAAACGCCATAGTGTTTCGTTGGCGAAACTCGCGCGTTCAATGTGCTCTGTTTTCAAGGAGACAAAAACACCAAGTCAATCACAATCGTCAAATTTCCGCCGCCGAATGTCGGCGTCGTTGATTTGATCGATTAAACAGAAACCAAGATGACTGTCAAATATCCACCGCCGGCGTCTGCGATGTTGATTTGATCAATGCACCTTTGACTTCTAATCAAACAACCGTTACTCGGTTCACCACCTCTCCAAACTACGTTCGAACGAGGGTGTTCAACGAGAAACGAGAAACCAAATCGGGAGTGTTCTAAGTTACGTTACCTCTACTCCTATGGAGGTTCCTCTGGAGAGCTCCGCGACTACGACTACAAGCTACGATCTACGCCTCTCCCGAGACTCCCTGCTCGTTCCCGTCCCGCTTGTCCTCTACAACTTTTCCAGCACCGGCCACAGTCACTCTCAGACCCGTGGTAGAGTTATCCACGTTCACATTTGCTTGCAAGTTTGCGATCCTCCTTCCTTGAGCATTCTTGCGGAGGTACCTTCGATACTGTGTCCTTGTCATCTCGTCAACGGCGATAGGCTGCTGACGACGGACATCGTAGGTGTGCCAACCACCTTGTGGCACACTTGGCATCC